TTTAGTGGGAGGAGCCTGTTGCCTAGGTGCTGAGAGGAAACACACTTGGGTAAATCCTTCAATACCCACTGCCATCAAAATGATTCCCAAAGCGAAGCGTGGCTGGTGGGTTTGACCTGCCCACCTGGTGGCTAGCAGTGCAACCCTTAGGGGACACTGCCACCAGGGCCACTCCACTGCTGAAGCAGCCAGCCACTACAGACTTCACCCCAGTAGCCGTCAAGTGCCTCCAGCTCCTGGCAATCCCTGTGTGTCACACTAGAACTGTGGCCCGTACAGAGGGCTGGTTCCCAAATCCCAAACTCACTGCCATCGAATCAATGCCAACTCAAAGCGGTGCAGTAGGACAGGGTAGAACCACCCCTGTGGGTATCCGAGACTGTAACGGTTTCTGGGAGTAGAAAGCCCTGTCTTCTTCTGAGGAGCAGCTGGTGGTTTCAAACTGCTGACCTGCAGTTGGCAGCCCAACTCGTAACCAATAGCCCACAGGGTTGCCAGTGGCTAGCTTCTTAGAAGCTCACCAGGCCTTTCTTCCTCAGTGCCTCTGGGGGACTCACACCTCTGCTAGCAGCTAAGTGAGTTTTACCATTTGCATCAGCCAGGGACTCTTTGAAATACTCCACGTGCTGAGCCAGTATGAATCAGCCGAGTGAGACACACCTTCCTCTAAGGCCGGTACAGCTTCGAGGCAGAGCAGATGCCACCTCAAGCTCTCCCCTGTATGGGAGGCTCAAACCTAAAGGCATTTGGTTTGCTGACGGGCGCCAGAGCTCTAACTGCCGGGTGAGCCTCGGCATCAATCCAGATGCCATCTTGAGTACTTGCCACACTTTTGACCCTTGAAATATCAAGGTGACCTGACAACTAGGAAGAATTCTGGCCAAGCAGGAGAGGCAGTGACCCTGATCAATCCCCCTGATCAATCTGGTAAACTGGGGAGAGGGAGGGTGCCTCCTTCCTTATTCCCACCAGTTGGGTCAACAGAAACCCTCCAGACTTGTATCAGTGATCTTTGGAAAAGCGATCGACAATCGTTAACGCATCTGAGGCGGGAATGACACTTCCGTTGGTTTTTAACTTTCATACATGCTGTTTGTTTTGTCTGTAGCAGAGTGGGTTACCCATCCGTTGGGCTGGTCACCTCAAGGTCAGCTGTTCAAAATCACCAGCTGCTGGGAGGGTGGGTTGGAAAGGGGGAACCGATTACAAGGATCTACATGTGATCTCGTTCCTGAGGGATGGACAACAGAAAAA